TTAAATAGGCTCCTGTTGCCTATTCATGACTGCTTTTATTGTTTTCCCCATCTACCCTAACTGTTGGTACTCCCAGCTGGATTCCTCCAGCAATTTTTAGTTATTTTCTTCCTTTTGAAGAATTACCAGGGGTTGGTTTCCTTATGATATAGTAATTTTCACTGGGTTGTCTCAAAAGTCATTCCTCGTTTAGGCAAAACATCTTTTCACAAAGAGTTCTCTCTAACAATGCAAGGCGTTTGAGGTTTGATGTAGTTAATGTTGTGCTTTTACTGCAGTTACGCTGTTTGCTGCTTGTCATACTGCTTTTGGCCACCAATAGAATTTTGTTGAAAAGAATAATTGCAAATCAGCACAAAATTTTTGTTGGTGAGCCACAAGGGAAAGACTGTTTTTCAGATGTAGCTGTGGATCTCAGAATCTTCCATTTAGTGATGGCCTGAAGCTGAACTACTCCACAAATTCAAATACTTAGCACCAGAGTTTCAATAACGCATGCCAAAAATGGACGTAACAGAATTTAAGTTAGAAAAATTCAACCTTGCTTTGCTCTGTGCCTGAAAGTGTTCTTTTCTGTTTGCAAGATGTTTTAAAAATCTTTTTGTGCTGGAATTTGAGAGAATCTGGTTTATCATTCTACTTTTTCACCAGGGAGTGGAAGGGAGGAAGGTATTCTAATATCAGGATGTATCTAGGGTATTTTCTCAAAATCAAATTCATTTGTACCACAGCATGATTGTTTACTTGAGTGGCGGCCAAGATGGAGATATTACTCAAAACCAGAATACTCTGTTACTTATTTAAAGTACCTTAAGATCAGCACAAATGAAACCTGTTCTGCTAATGTCTTCCCAAAAGTAATCCCCATTCACCTAGCTGGTTGCTGTCAAGCCAATTATGCCTGCGCTCTCTGCTGGCTAGTAGGCCTATCTGTGCATATCTCTCAGCTATCTGTGGATCACAAGTGACTAAATGGGCATTCCTCACAAGAGGTTTCTTTGTGGTCTGCTGTGTTTGTATTTTTAGAGCATGATTCTAAGTAGATTGCACACAGGTGGGCTCAAAAGTGAAGAGTTGGAACAGTGTAAGGGCTTCTGGAAAGATACTAGAGGACTAAGATGTCAGCAGATGTGAGGGCTTGTCTGCTTCTCGGCGGGTTCCCTGGTCCAACTCAATGACTAAGTAGGTCACTGACCCTCTTTGGATCATTTAATATGAGTCGACTCATATAGCAAAAACATGGTTGACTCATGGTAGCAAAAAAAATTAGGATTTTCAAGACCCCTTCCAACTTGGGCTATTAAATGATTCTGTAAAATAGGATTCAAGATCAGTAAGATGGGATACAAGAAATTGCTTCAAACTAACAATGGGATTTCTTGCTTTTCCTCCTTGTTTATTTTGATCTGTAAAGTAACTTTATACTATGCATCAATAAGGAGAAAGAGGAAGAAAAGAGAAAAACATCATGTATAAGTTGTTTGTACAATAACATACGAATTACCATGGATTTCCTCTGAAATTTTCAGTTTGTAGTTCTGTACTGTTTTGACACCTGATAGTAAAACTTGTCAGCATTGGCTACGGTTGCACCACTTTCATCTGTGCAAATCCAAGAACTAGTCAGCTTCTGGTAGCTACCAGTTTGTTGAAGGGAATTCAGTATAGTCATTTGAAGTGCGGTACTTCTGTTACTGATTTAGCACAGCTATTTTCCTTCAAATAGATACAGCTAAAGATTAGTGAAGAAGGCCATTTATTTACCTTGCCCTTTGGGTCTGAGAGCAAAGGAAGAAAATGGGAGAAAAGTGACCTCTTTCTCAGCAAGGGGAACAAAGTAGTAATCAGAAGCTTACAGAAGGAACAGAAGATAGCCATTAGGGCATATATTAAGGATAATATGGAATTGAGATTATGACTAAATCACCATCACCAAGGAGATGGGAAGAAAGATTTTCCTAAATATTGTCAATGCTGACTCAGTTGACAGAATCTACCTAGAGTTCAGCAAAGCCTTTGACACTGTCTCCCATGAAATTCTCTTGGAGAAATTGGCAGCCTGTGGCTTGGACAGGTACATTCTTTTCTAGGTAAAGAACTGGCTGGATGGCTGGGCCCAGAGAGTGGTGGTTTTATATCCAGCTGGCTGGATGGCTGGGCCCAGAGAGTGGTGGTTTTATATCCAGCTGGCAACCAGTCATGAGTGGTGTTCCCCAGCAGTTGCTATTGGGGCCTGTCCTATTCAGTACTTTTATTGATGACCTGGCTGAGATGATTGAGTGTACCCTCAGTAAGTTTGCAGATGACACAAAGTTGGGAGAAAGTGTTGATCTGCCTGGGGGTAGGAAGGCCCTTCAGAGGGATCTGGACAGGCTGGATAACTGGGCTGACACCAGTGGGATGAAGTTCAACAAGACTGAATGCTGGGTCCTGTACTTTGGCCACAAAACCCCGGGCTTGGGGCAGAGAGGCTGGAAGACTGTGTAGAAGAAATGGATCTGGAGGTGTTTGTTCACCCTCAGCTGAACATGAGCAAGCAGTGTGTCCACCTGGCTAACAAGACCAATGGCATCTTGGCTTGTATCAGAAGTACTGCAACCAGCTAAGAGCAAGGAAGGAATAATTACTCTGTACTCATCTCTGTTGAGGCCACACCTTGAGTACTGTGTTCAGTTTTGGGCCCCTCACTACAAAAAAAGGCAATGAGGTCCTGGAGTGTGTCCAAAGAAGGGCGACTAAGCTGGTGAGGGGTCTGGAGCATGAGCCTCATGAGGAGTGGCTGAGGAAGCTGGAATTGTTTAGTCTGGAAGAGAGGAGGCTCAGGGGAGACGTTATTGCTCTGTATGACTACCAGAATGGAGGTTGTAGTGAGCTGGGGGTTGGCCTTTTTTCTCATATAACTACCGATAGGACTAGAAGAAATGGCCTTGAGTTGTACCACAGGAAATTCAGGTTGTAATTCATGTTAGGAAATACTACTTCTCCGAAAGAGTGGTCAGGTGCTGGAATAGGCTGCCCAGGGATTTGGTGGAGTCACCAATGCTGGAGGTGTTTGAGGAACATTTAGACATTGGGTTGAGGAACATGGTTAATGAGAACTATTGGTGGTAAGCAGACAGTTGGATTGGATGATCTTGTAGGTCTTTTTCAACCTCAGTGATTCTATAATTCTGTGATCCCCATATGAAGCTACTGGGGACATGCAACTTTGGACACCAACAAGGTTCCAAACAGCAGAAACCAGGAAGGAACATCAACAGACTTCCAAGTCAACTAATATACATCATAATGATACTTAGTAAAACATTCTACGTGGCATCAAAGTTTAGGATTATTGCCTCTGATTGATAACAAAGTACATTTATTAAAATTAAGTATTCACCTGAATTCCATTTTATAGTATCTTACTGCAGAGAGGGAAGCATATATGAAAGGATAGTCTTTATTAAACGTTTGTGTCTAAAAAAGAAAGAAGGCTTATAGTATTTGATTCAAATATGAGATAAATAGACTTCTGCATTAAAAATTTTAATCAGCCACAAAAAAAAAAAAAAAAATTAAAAAAATTACTGACTATCTTATTTGCATTTTAAGTACACAATAGTTTTGTAAACTATCCTCAGTTGGAAGAGATCCCCAAGTCCAACTCCTGGTTCCACACAGGACCCTATGTCTGAGAGCATGCTGATAATATTTTTTATAATAAAATTGCTGATAATATTTTCATGTAATTGCAGTGTGATGATAAAAAGAAGTTGTTTCCCAAATGAGGAAGGGACCATCATCCTTTTCCCCAGGATGGTGCCTTACCACTGATAATGGCAGGGAGTTGAGGTGTCTCAAACTACTGTCATTTCCTGGGATATGGCAAAGTAGCCCTCGTAGAATTGGGATGGCTTCCTGACTTTTTTTCCTGAGTGCATTTACCTGATCACTCTTCAGACAAAGGTTTTAATTGGAGGCAAATGTTTTCCATCAATTTTGCTTACATCCTTTGTATAAAGGAAAGGGGCACGAAGAGTTTGGTCTGAGTCTTTTCAGACAACTGCAGGTACTCATCACTACTACTAAATCATTTTCAGAAAATGGGACTGTGGCCTCTCAGTAACTCCAGTCATTGTACTTTCTCCAGAGGAAGAGTAGTGAAGTGATTGCTGAGAACCAGTTTGTACTTGTCTTAAGAAATTTTCAATATCGGTCTGCATTCATCTCTGGAAAGAAGAGAGAAAGGAGGAGGGATGTGTCAGGAGAGAGAAAGAAGTTATTGATCTACTCTGTTGTGTAATGACAAATCATACATCTCTCATTGTTTTTCTTTAGGTTTAGCTTCTGCAGTAAAAGGACTTTATGAAAATTTTATAAACATTCCAAACATTCAGTGTTTTAAAATGTTTCTTGGAAATTCTGAGTAATGTGTATGTGTTAGTCTAGGTGTTGTAGTTTAATTCCAACTAGAGAATTACATTTCCTTCTGAACACGACTGAAAACAACTAACTGCTGTAGCATTTTTATTCAGACGCAGTTACCATTCATCCTCTAATTTTGCAATAAATCTTACTGCTATAGCATCCTTACAATTTTTTTTTAATTATTATTTTTTTAAATTTTATTGCTAACAGAAGAGAATGATCTCCTGACTTGCCATTTTGTTATCTCTGGATCCTAAATTACTGCTAAAACTCCTATATTTAAAGGAAAAGATGTTTAAATTTTTTCTGATTACTTCATTTATATTTCTACAATTGTATAAGAAGCTGCTAATGATATTACTAAACTAATGAAGGGAAAAAAGTAGGCATGTTAGAAACTACAATTAAATGTAACAGCTTGTTTTCTAAAACACATTGAGTTGCCATGAGAATCTACCTTCAAACAGTTGTTTGTTTGCATCTAACAAACTGAAAAGTGTTATGTTGCTATAATGTCATATTCTGTTACTAAATACGTAATTACAAGAAAATACATTTTCTTCTTATCTTATTTTTTTCTCTTTCTGTAGTGAAAAGACAGAGTCTGAAAGTTCAAATCAATGCAACAGATGACACTGTTTGCATGAGGTATCTTCGACCAAGCCAAAACACCAAACTTGAAGGTTTTGTCCTGGGTTATGGAAGCAGCTTCTTCTCTAATCAGTACATTCCTTTACCTTCGGATGGAAGCACCTACATAAATGAACTTGGTACAGTATTATTCCTTTCCATGTTATTGTTGTCATGATGTGGAAACAGACCAATGAAATTATGAATCTTTGGGTTTCTTAATTTGTGTTTTTATTGGGGTATTGCTTTGGCTTTTTTTGTGTGTTTAAGGCTAGTTTGGGAAGAATTTCAGATCACAATGTTCCTTTAGGGAGAAAAAATAAGTTCTTGTTGTTTGGAAGAGCTTGTTATTTATATTTGAGGATTTTCACTTGGGGGAATCTTTAATCCTAAAAGAATGAACTCTATTGACTGCATTACAGATAGTATGAGACGATTTGCATAAATCTGCAGTTATGTACATGGGAGATGTTTATGTTCCTATCGTAGCAAAGAAGCAGAAATAAAACAATTTTAAGTATTGTGTGGTTGATTCACTTTAATGGAAATGTTTATAACAAAAGGATGCATTTTCTTGTAGGGGCACATGTTGCAGAATAACCTGTACATTCTGTGTCAGATGTTACAAATATAATTCTGTGAGTTGTTGTAAGGAAGAGTTTAAAATGCATTGGAAATCTTGTATTTTGTTGATTGGAACAGGAAACAAAGAGTAAATTAGGTTGTCTTTTTGACCCTGGATTGTCAGTATCAATAGAATAGCAAACAAGGAGAACTGGATCAGTTATAATTTTCTTATAAAACATTGATTTATTAGAATTTTACATTATCAAAAATGTGTCCAATGTCTGAGAATTTCCCTATTGCTTTCTTTAATCTTCCCTAGCCTGAAATGAATCCAGAATCTTGTGTTACCCTCATCACTGCAATGTCAGTGACCTTTGTGCAAAAGAGAGCAGAGAAAGCATGCATAAATGTAGAAGTATCAGTTGCATTGTTTTTAATGAGGTAAATCAAGGCGATTCTAGATGTGTGCTCCAGGCTGAGAATTACAGAGTAGGAAAGGAGACAAATAAGATGTTAGACATAGAATAATTACTAAGAATCTTCATTAGATTTCTCTGGAAAAGGTTGACTTCTTCCTTTTCATGAGTTGCTATTTCTGTGATCTTTCTGTACTTTTATCACAGTACAGTGTTTGAGTTCATAAACATCACTTAACCTGTACGAATCTAATGTATGCCATGTGCAACTTTCAACACAGCTCAGTAGAAATGATGTACGGGCTTCTCTGTAGAAGTGGGCATGAGTAATACCCGCATAGCTGTATTACAGGAAGAGTGGGAGTTAGTATTTTTCACATACTGTGAGATCCATGGAAAGAGGAAAAAGCTCTGAATGTAGTCACATGTAGATAGTTTGCCCTTCTCTCCATTTAATACCAGTGTTACTACCTAATGATTTGTGAAACCATATGAAAATATAAAGCTGAATGTCACCTGGAACATATTGGTTCTTGGTAACTTTCATACTAACATCTAGTGACAGGAACTGTAGACGCCTTTATTTGGTTCTGCAGTCCAGTGGAGTGGCTAGCTGCATGCGTATTCATTAATCTTACAGTTAAGCAATCAATATCTTGAAGTAATGAAAAATCTTGAAGATGAGAAACACCATTCTATGTACCCACTCTATTGAAACTAAAACATTTTCTTTAGTGTATCTGGACAATCCAGCACAATAAAAGAGAAAGGCACAAGTGATGAATAACACTGTCTTAATTATTTTAAAGGAGATTAACATCAAAAATGTAATTCACTCATGCTAATAGAAGTAGTTAGTAAGTTTTCTAGTTACAGTAAACCTGATTATAAGTTCTAAATGTCTAATAGCTAAAAATGCAATCTGTTAGTACTGCTAGCATTTCCAACTTGAAGAAAATGTCATCTTTGATAGGAAAGGAATAAAAGATACTAACAGTAATAGGTACATATTTTAAGTTGCAAACATTTGTTTAAAGCAATTAACAGTACATTTGTTAAAAATATTGCTTTTAGTTACAAGTTTTAGTGTTACATTACATGCTTAGTATATTTGTTCAGGGAATTTGAAAGCAGAGAACACAACATATTTCCCATTGCATTAATCCTAACACAACATTAAACAGCAGCATTGGCTATGCTAATGTATGAATATAGAACTTGAGTTAAAAGAAGAAACATTTGTTGTGCTTTTGGCTCTGTTTTAAAACAACATACAACAGAGTTAAACAGAAGACATTAGTGGCTGCTAGCACCTCCCATAATTTCAGGGACTGGGTGCTGAATTTATTCCAGGATGGTTCTTAGTTTTAGGAACTGTGGATAGGTTTAATTCTGTCACTCAGAGATCAGACACTGCTTTATATGAATGCTGGAAAAAACCCAAGATATGGTAGAGGGGCAATATTAATATTCTCAAGACACTTTCCAAAGGTACAAGAACTCCTAGGCCATATTGTTGAAAATCTTTGGCTACTTCTTGTGCGTCTGGAACATCTCAAGTGATGAAATTGGCCTGGTATTCTATCTTCATATTAAAACAAGCATTTTTATTATTGTCTGTTTGGTTGGTTTGGTTGTTGGTGTTTGTTGATTTTTTTTTAAATTTCACCCCACAGATATTTTCTATTCTATGTTTTAGATATTCTAGTCATTCAGGTGGTACTGTGCACTTTGCAAAGGCTATGATCCAAACATTTTTCCCCACCGCAAAATGAGTTAGGCTTCTAGAAAGGTATTCACATTCAGTCCAACAACTCTCTCAGTCCTCTCATGCTTCAGCTTATCCCACTTTTATAGAAAACACATGGAATTTACAGGCTGCACTGAAAAGTGATTGATTACAGCTCTTTCTAAACAGTATGGTAGGAGTGAATTCCAAATGTGAAAAGATGTTGTGGCCTGTTTAGACCAAGACTAGCACAATTTAAGGTTTTTTCTCACTTGCCAGTTTTAGTAGTTCATGGATAGAGAAGACCTTTCCTGATAGCCTTAGAGACTGAAGCTGACTACAACTTTAAACTGGTTTAGTTGCTGAAAAATAAAGATTAGAATTGGATATTCAAGGGCATCTGGTAATACCAGAGGATATGTTTCCCCAGCAGGATAGGGGAATATTACTTTAGAACACTGTTTTGTGAGAACATGACTAGATCTGGGAGAATGGATTTCCTCTGTCTATAGAGAAGTGAATCTTGATTTGATAGTATTAACATTGTCAAGGAACATGGTTTAAAGGGGAAATACTGGTGGTAGGTGGATGTTGAACCAGATAATCTTGGAGATCTTTTCCAACCTTGGTGATTCTGTTAATGTTAAACATAAAGTCAATAAGATTTAATTTTGTGATTTTATGAGATCACAGAGGTATGTTTATATATTTTGAAGTAAATAAATGAGAATATGGTCTTACTTCCAGGAGAATCACGTCTTTGTAGAAAGTGTGACATCCACTTTCAGTTCATCTACTACAATGTTCAGCTCCTCCTTGGAGTGGTTCTTCTCTTAAAATAATTTTGTTTGTTTGTTTTTTCTTTTGCATAGAATAATAGAATCATTAAGATTGCAAAAGACATCCAAGATCATCTAGTCTGACCATCCACCTGCCACCAATGTTGCCCGTTAACCATATTCCTTAGCCCCACATCTACAAACCTTCTTAAACACCTCGAGGGATGGTAGCTCAATCACTTCCCTGAGCAAGCCATTCCAACAACTGATCACTCTCTCAGAGAAGGTTTTCCTAATATCTAGCCTGAACCTCCCCTGGTGCAACTTGAGGCCACTACCTCCAGTTCTATCACATTGTCACAACCTCCTTTCAAGGAGTTGCAGAGGACAATAAGATTTGCCCTGAGCCTCTTTTCCAGGCTGAACAATCCCAGTTCCCTCAGCCACTCCCCATAAGACCTGTGCTCCAGATTCCTCACCAGCCTTGTTGCTCTTCTCTGAACAGACTCCATGGCCTCAGTGTCTTTCTTGTAGTGAGGGATCCAAAACTGAACACAGTATTCAAGAAGGATGATCACATCGCTGCTCCTGCTGACTACTATTTTTGATATGAGCCAGGATGCCACTGGTCTTGTTGGCCCCATGAGCACACTGCTGGCTCATGTTTAGCCGAGTGTCAACTAACATCCCCACATCCATTTCCTGTGCACAGTCTTCCAATTTCTCTGCCCAAGACTGTAGCATTGCCTGGGGTTGTTGTGGCCAAAATGCAGGACCTGGCACTTGGATTCATTGAACTTCATCCCATTAAACTACACTGCAGCTAAACTGATAACTGAGCCAGTAATTGTGTAATATCATCCATGAATTAGGAATTGCCTGCAGATAGTATGTAAAAAAGAAGAGTTCTGTTGGATTTCCTGAACTTTTAATGAGCTCACGCTGCCAATAAACTCTTGAGCAGCTTTATTGAGCTGCTAGACAGCTCAATTTGAATTAACCTGAAGTGTAAATGACAACGGTGAGGTAGCATTAAAGTTTGGTATGAAGAAGTATCAGGGTGCAAGATGTCTTTTCCTTGGTGCTGATGATACTTCACAAGCTTACGTGATAGTAAATGCCATTATTGTTGGTCAAGCAAGCTAAATGGATGGTGTCAAAAGATATCAGAATTTAAATTCAGATAGACTAATAAGCAAGGTGAAAAGACCCATCCAAATGTTCTGTGCTTTATTTAGACTTCCATCTAAATCTCTTCAGTCTTCACAACTCACAAAGAATATTTCCTTGAGATTTTTACACTAGTTTGATCTAACTCAGTTAGGAAGACAATAAAGTCAGTCTCCCTGAATGTATTGTTACTTTTGGAGGAGCCCAAAAAATTGGATGGAGACAATGAAGTTTTGCAAGAATGGACAGCAATTAGCAATTAGCTAAAATCTGAACAAAATGCATTCAAAAAAACAAGTTGGACCACTTTGTTTAGCCTTTCCTTTACTTGAAGCAGACTGTGTAGTGATGAGGAGAATGTGCTGGCAGTTCCACCTTGTAGCAAATGTAATAATTTGTGCAAGAAATTTACATACAAAAAGGGAAGAATTCTAATATCTCCTTGAAAACATTTTAAAAAGTGTGATTTACGGATATCTGCTAGATCAGTACTTAAATTAAGTAAGCATTAATTCAGGACTTGTCACTAGTTAGAAAGCATAACTCACAGTGTATAGAATTGTTATATTAGTTTGGATTTGTGACATGCGTTTTCATTATATTCCTCAAGACTGGTTGTCTCTCCAGGCTGTTCAGGTGGGTAATAAAGTTTATTTAATAGTTTTTTCTCATGAATATCACAGAATCTTAGTCAAACAGTTGCTTTTTTCTTTTATAATGTTGCCAAAGTATTGGTTTATTTCTGTGAACTTAGCAGTCCTTGAAATGTTTCTCCTGTAGAAAATTGTAGACACAATGGTAGGTGTAGTGTGCGCATGCGTCTTTCAGGCTGCTTGAATGAAAAAAATACTGAGTCACTGGAGTTGTTCAGAGAAGTATTTCATTTACCTGGCGATGGTTCATTGAGCTGTAATAGGTGTGGTGCTTAAAAGAAATGACAGAATTAAGAATATGTATTGAATGTATACGCAGGTGTGTTCTGTATGTATTGAATGCCATAGACAGAATTCCCAGTGTTTTACACATCCTGGTGCTTTTAGTCTGTGGGTAGGATTCCCTCCTACTGCAGAGGTTATTTTTTTGAGTGTACGTGACCATCTGAGTGTAGCGTTTTGCTCCAAACTGGCACTGCTTTATTCAGCTGTGAATATTTAAACTTGAAAGAGCAATACTGATGACATACTGGAGCCACCCAAATGAATTATCAAAACCAAAAAATTAAAAAATAAAAATTTAAAAAAATGGAGAACTATAACACTAAGAATTTAGCATGGATTTGTTGATTAGTAATCATCTGGCACAACTGGTCATTTTCCTACTGAAGATTTAAGCCTGTCACTATTTGGACTTTTGATTTGCAGTTTCAAGGGGTTTGTATAGAAACAGTTGTGTGCCAGCTGAAACAATCTGCTAACCATGGTGTTTGTCACTCTAACCTTAACAGTGGGCTCTTAGCAGGTTCTAACAGATCTCTAATGTTCTTCTTTTAGTATCAGTTCATCAAGAAGGCATTAAGTTAAGGAAGCTGGAAGATTTTGGTATTGAATTTGTAAATATATTTCAAGCTGAACTTGTTCAAGTTCATGTAGTTCTGTAAAGATTAATCATATAGAATATTTTCAACTCTTACAAGACCACACATGTACTTACTGTATACTGGATATATAATTTTACAAATTCTGAAGAGTGACTTTTGTAATTTATGAGGTTTGAAAATGTTGGTCAGGACTAATGATATTATATGTCGGTTACTCTGAAAGTAATGCCTCCTATTTATTTTATTAGAAACTACAACAGCTACAAAGAGCACAATAACAATATTTGATAGAGGGAATTCTCAGCTTCAAAACACTATTTTTCAGCATGAGCACTACCATTAGCTTTTTTTGCCAGCAATGAGCAAGAGCCAGCACGGTGTGCTCAGAAATATCTGCACCCCTGGAGGCAAACCCACTCTTTCACAGTTGCTATCTCAGCGTTATTGTTATGAATATGTTGCCCACACCACCAATCGTTCATTGGTCTGAACAGATGGAATTAAGAAGGCACCAAATACAGACTATACTGTGGTTGGACAATCTGGTCAAGATTGGCAGTGTATTCCTCAGTCTTTAAAATGGTCTGGCATCTGGTGTTATGATGTTGCAAGCAAAAGGTTGTCTTATTCTCTTGCCTGAATATGGAAATTTGAGTCTTTTCAGGAAATCTGGAAAGATTGTCCTTTTCCAATCCCCAGACACAGTGTACATTGCTGTACCCACTGAGAGCTGCATCTTGGAACGTTTTCTTCAATGGAGAATTCACATATTGCCACTCTGTGGACTGCTGTTTTGACTCCAGCTCACAATGATAATATCACATCTCTTCACTGCTAATGATGTGATCCAGGAACCTGTCACCTTCAGCCTTGTATTGGTTCAGTAGGTCCTGGCAAACTTGCATACAGTGTTATTTCTGTTCCTGTGCGAGAATTCCTGGGACACTTAAGGTGAAAGCTTTGCAGTGTTCAAAGGTTGCCACTGTCATTTCCTATGCATTAAAGCCAATATTCAGCTCTGTGTACTGTTCTCTGGTCGTAACCCATAAATTCATGTGGATGAGCTGACCGAGATACTCTGCATTTCATGGATATGGAAGCTGTACATGGCCACCCAGAGCATGGTTTATCTTCATGTCACTGTCACCATTGCTGAAACACACCATCCACAGCCTCACTGTGCTTACATCCAGTGTTTGATCTCCATCAGCATTCAGCGTCATGAATGTCAATGGGTGCCATTTTTTCTGCACGGAGGAATTCAGTGACATACCACTGCCATTTCAGATGCCATTTTGACATCTTGCCCCTCTGCCCCACCTGTCACATACCAAGAAAATGTGGGGGAATATTGGTAGGAAGATTCACCCTCTACAGCCGTACCACCAGCATCCACCTTTGATGTTTTGGGCCAATGTAATGAAATAGGAAATATTACTTTTGGACCAGTCCTCATAGTCATGTTGTTTAGCACATTGTGAGAATTATAATGTTCTCCCAAATAGTCATGAATGCATAGCATGAGGGAATATTACTTTAAGTTTTGTTGATTTTGTTTTATTTTAAAACAATTTTTAAAATTCATTTTAAAATATAAACTAACATATAATATTTAAGAAGAGTTTGAAGTAGTGGCTAGAATATTTCTGAATGATTTTTGAGTAAACTTTGAAGAAAATGTGCCTAAAGACCCTTAAAATTGGATAGAAAATCTTCACTGAATATTGGACTTTTTCTTAATAAATTATAGATTAATCCCTGTCTCAAATAAATGTTAAATCTATACTAATTCTTTCTTCATTTACAGATGCAGAGCCACGGTATTTGGTTTCAGTGAGACCAGCGCGTGTTTCAAATAACAAGAAATCTTGTTCAGGTATTTGAGCACTACTGAATCTCTTTCTTCAAGTCGTTCTGAGGAAGATAATATCCTGTTTTTACTAGGTTTCTCTGAAAATGTATCTGTAACTGTAGGTGACTTACTGAGATGCCTGGGAAGGCAAAATGCATACCAATACTTCCCAGACAGTAGTTAGTTATGAACGTGGTGTTAAAAACGTGAAGGTTGTATAATACCTGAAGATGGTTCTTGTAAAAAGTTCTGCTAATGAGAATTGAAAATTAGAGTATTACAGAAAAAAAATTCAGTTAAGAAGTTTAAATGCACCTACATGCACTGGTTGAAAGTACAGATCAGATTTTCATTGAGCTTGTTGAGTGAAGAGATATTAGGAATCAAAAGGAATGAAAAAAAAATCACTGTTTCAGTGGCTTAAACTTTTGGGGAACTTATGGTCATGTGTATATTTTGAGGAGTTATAGATCAATCAGATATTTCAAGTATGAACAAATGATACAAAGGATATATGAATTTCCTTTCATTTGTCCTCTTTCATACAACTAAGGAACTAAAGTTCTGATTGGGTCTGTAGCAGTCCATAAACCATAGGTCCAAAATGTTTGCTCTAGATCACTTCTTCATTTCCAACTATTTGTTGGAAAATCTTCTGAAAGTATTTAAAAGCTTTTGAGCATCATGTGAATAAAGTTGTTTTTCCACGTGAGGGATAGTTGTGCTTCTTCATTCAGAGCAAATTTAATCTAAGTATCACCCAAAATGTAAGTATCTTGAACGTAGTATGTGGTTAAAAAACAAAAATGTCCTAGATACAGACACCAATTCGGATCTGCCTACAATTCAAAACAACAGAGTTTTTGCTGGTCTTAATTTATTCTTGATGGAAAGTGCTATCAACAGTATAAATTATCTGTTGACACACCTGTTGTGTTAGTAGGAATCCTGCCAAGAAAACACATTTTTTTCCTGTCACACAGAAAGAGGAACCTTCTAATAATCTGAATTATGTATATACTAATAATACAAAAAATAAACATTAAAGTTTTCATAGTCTCAAAAATGAGACATAAAGAAAACTTCCACTAAGGCAAAACTGTTCTAAAGTTTTGTAAATTAATCTTTTCTGCTCACAAAATAATAGTAAGATGTGTTATTTCTTTTTGATTTACCCTGAATCTACAAGTCCGGAAGTGAAAAATCCCAGTATTTTCCAAGGTTGAAATACATTCTGTGTAAGTTCAGGGAGAACCTAATAAAACTCCTCTTTAAGATGCCTTTTCAGCTTGATTGTGTGTCCAGTGCCTGTTTGTTTTAAGCACTCTCCCAAATTCTTTTCCTGTTCGTTTCTATATGTATCTTCCCTTCCTTTCTGCGAACTTCATACTGCACTTTTTTATTCTATTCATGCTCAGCTAGCTTCAGAAAAGGAGCAGGCTCTTTCTTTCAGATATTTTGCTTGCTTCAATGAGAAGCCATCAAGCAGATCAGAGACACCCTCCAACCGCATTTTTAGACCATATTTTAGAAATGCTGAGAACAGTTGACCCCTTTCCTTGAAATTCGGAAGAGAAGTAGGTCTTCATTTATTTGACTACCCAACTGCAAAATCTTTCCCCTACATAATGCAAGATAACTAATTTATAATTGGAATTACATGTTTCTTACCTAGGTCGGAACAAGAATCAAAAGCCTCTGCAGCTGGTAGTTGGCACTCTCACCCCAACTTCTGTGTTCCTCTCTTGGGGCATCCTAGTCAACCCTCAGCATGACTGGACAGCAACAAGTAACTGTGCTAGCGACAGGTAAAATAACAGAAAACAGCTTTTGCAGTGATAATGTTTTAATGTGACATTCCAACCTTGAAGCTGTGCAGGTTGTTAACCAGCATAGCTGAAGAAAAATGACAGTGTAAATTAAAACACTGCATTAGTTCTGACTGTGAAGTTTTCTTCTTTACTTAAGTTAGTTCTTAGCAAGCCTTTACCTGTCTTGATAGCAAATGTAGTCAGGTGCCTATGTGTTGAAGTACAGATCTTACTGTTTCACCATAGATCCTTTATTGTTCTTACAGCAGTGGTCTTGGCTCTACCTTTGTTTGCATTTGAATAAATTGGAAGAAACGTTGTTCAATGACAGGAGATATGTTGATTTAAAGTTGGCTAAATAGAAGTAAAATATGGCTTTTGTTGTGCTTTAATAGGAGAATGGCACCTTATTTTAATACTATCTCATTTTTACTTTCTATGTTTTGTCTTATCACTTCCCTACTTCATTGATATTTCTATAAGAGTACAGCTTTCATTAATTTTCTATTTTAAGTAGAAGTTCTCTTGTATTACAGTATTTGTTTTGTTGTGGTTATTTAATGAATGTGCTCGGGAAGTCTTCCAAAGTGAGAGTGTTAAGAAAATCACAATGCTAGTTAGCTTCAAAGACAACAGCAATCTTACATTTTTGAAAACTTTTAGCAGTTGATAACATGTATTTGCAATTACTCTTGAAGGTGCTTTTTATGTTTTCTCTGTGATTTTAGTATTCTTTTTGTATTCTTCTATTTATGACAAAAGAGTATTTTGATTTTCATTTACTTCCTGTTAAGCTCCATACAACTCAGCAGTGTAAAACAAACAAACAAAAAAAAAATTGTGCACCACATTAAGAATGCGTCTACATCTGGTTTGCAAGCATCAGCATCATCTTTTTCTTTACTGCAATCATGGAATCAAAGAATATCCTGAGTTGGAAAGGACACATCATCAAGTCCAACTCCTGGCTCCACACAGGACCACCTAAAATCCAAACCCTATGTATAATGCTTTCTATGAGAGATCCCTATGTATAATGCTCTCTATGTTTGAGAGCATTATACAAACACTTTTTGAGTTCTGACAGGGTTGTGATATGGGAGTCAGGCTGTCTAGCCCTAGATGACCCATCCAACCTAGATAGACCTTTATTCACACTATGATTTGCCTGCTTTCAAGTTCCAGAACCTGATGTATAAGGGCATTTGTGTGGGTGAAGTATGCAGGAAATGAATTTGCTTGCTGCTCTCAGAAGAAACCTGCTTCCATTCCCTTATCTCTTAGGTCCCCTCCTTCTGCCTTGTGGCAGAGGACAAGAGATCCTTTATATCTTTGTAGTGACTGGCTGACATGTCTATATCAAGGATGGCAGAGCATGATTCTGCCAATCTGTCTCCTCCTCCAATTCCCTGTTGCTCTTCAGCTTGGTCACCTCCTCTTGAAGCTCTGTCTTCCTTCAGGCTGAGCAATTCTCCTCCCACAGGTGTGCACTCTGCTGCTGACAAAAAATTTGGGCACACCTAAAAAAAGGGGCTCTCCTTGTTCCGTCAGGAGAACTCTGGATAGCTGTGTTAGTTCCTGTGGATGGAGAGGATGAAGGAGACTTAGAGGGCATGGCTTCTTGCCTAGTGAATACGATGACACCATGACAGGAGTTCTCTGCAAATAGGTGACATGTACTGTTGGAAGCAGCAGAGTGACAGGACCTTCCCTCTGCACTCTCCTGCACCAACTGTGGCACCATGCTCTGGCTGCCCACTCTGGCCATAGAACTCTTCTGTGTGTACAGGCCTTTACTCCTGGCCAGCCATTCTCTGAGTGGTGCTAGGTCCTATTGAGAACTATCCTGTGGTCTCCACACCTCAGAAAGCTCCCGTGCACTGCCACTTCCACTCTCTGTAATGTTGAGAAGAAATTTTTTTGCCTTCATTGTTCTAGTTTATCTACATGGTTCACTCTGAAAGTACTGCCTCCTATTTATTGTCTTGAAAACAACAACAGATACAAAGAATACAATAACACTGTTTGATGAAGTGAATTCTCAGCTACAAAACACTGGTTTTTTGGCATAGTCGTCGCCATTAGGTATGCATTTTCATGTTTAGTGATTAACAAAAGCGCGAATGCTGTGCTCATAAAAATTTGTACTAGCAAAACTGCCCCACACTTTCACAGCTGCTATGACAGCATCATTGCTAGGAAAATATTGCCTGCATAGTTCATTGACTTGAACAGATAGAACTCAGAAGGCACCATATGCAGACTATACTGTGGTTGTAGCAGAAGAGTCCGGCTAAGATTGACAGTGTGCTCCATGATCTTTGAAGTAATCTGCTGCCTGGCATTACCATGTTGCAGGAGAAAAGTTATTGCCTTCTATGGCCTGACTCTGGAAGACTGAACCTTCAACATAATTAGTGTCATGATGGAGTGGTCAGAGTTGATGTTTTGTTTGTGTTTCAGGAAATCCAGAAGAACTGCCCCTTTCCTAAAACATGTAGCAAAATCAGTTGTCAACTGTGGTAGTATTTTCCATAATTGGCCATTTTCTTGTCGTAGTTTGTGTTTTAATAATTGAGCAGGGATTTCCCCATGCTCTGCAGTCACCTTTCATGTATACTCTACTCTTGGAGTGCACATCTGTACATTTGGCAAAAGAAAGTTTATGCATTTACAGAGTTTTATTGGCATATTAAGTAATTTTAATCTGGACCTTAAAACTTGATACATTTTTCAGTGTATTAAAAATGTTTTTGATTGTTTTGTTAAGGTCCCTTCTTTTACCACCTTATATTTTCCACAGAATATCTGTTTTATTTGTACCTTATACTCAGATTCCTTTTCTTTTTGTTTCTGAGTTATTCTCAGGCTTGTAGCAGGGTTTTGAATTTCCATTTATTTCTTGGCCTTAATTTTCTTCTCCTGAAGCCACTACCAGAAAAAAAACAGCTGGATGGAATTCATCCTTTTCAGTGTAAGATTGATGTTTTACAGTATGTGAAACAAATCTCAGTAATACTTGGATTAAAGAATTACTAAATATCTCCGATATTAAAAACAACAACAAAACAAACAAAACCACAGAAAACCACACTTTAATTTGGCAATGATACAGTCTGTATATTGAAAAGGACACTAGCAATCAGTAGAGTGCTTGTACCATAACTCAGCATTTACATTGTATTGTTTTATTCTGATTAGTATTACAGTCATACTTTTTCAGGGTGGTGCTGCTTGGTTTAATTGAGTAATTTCAGTGGACGTGCTTTTTAATTTTATAATCCATTAGTGTTCATCACACTGACTTTAACTGCAGAAAGTAATGTCTTAGTTTACTTTCTTAGTTTACTTTACTTTACTTTCTTACTTAGTTTACAAAGGGTGGGCAATATATGAGAACACTGGATGAGAAATGTATTATGTAAATGTCAACTATTATTTTTTCTTCCCCTTGTGAATATTTTTGGACTAGTTTTAGGGGGAACACCTTACCACGGAGAGATGCAGAAGTTTCTAAGAAATTTGTTGAGGCTCACTAGTGAATAGACTCATACGTCCATTCAACCGACTTGTTCCAGCATATATCAGAACTGCAGAAACTACTTGTAAAATAAGCTTGTAGCTTCTGCTTAGCATAACATGTGGATGTTCATAACTAATGAGACTGGGTTTTTTGCTCTATATATGCTACTAGTGATGTTGGGTCCTGTGTGAAGAGGAATATGTATGTATCTGGAAAACGATGAGGCTCACGTTATGTTTGTTCGCTGGCTTTTCAGATATTTGATAACTCTAAGGGACCTAAAAGAACAAAAGCGATATTTAGTATAAGTCATTTTAGCAATTAATAACACAAATGATTGCAGTGAGTTTTTTTCTGAAGAAAAACTTGTTTTTGTTGAGCAGGTTCTACACTGTTCGCTATAGAGAAAAGGATAAAGACAAGAAATGGGTTTTTCAGCTTTGCCCAGTTACAGAAACAGTGGTGGACAATCTGAAGCCAAACACACTTTATGAATTTGGAGTTAAGGACAACATGGAGGATAGCATCTGGAGCAAGACTTTCAATCATAAAACAGTTCTGTCTAGTAAGTGCTTTCTAGTAAATATCTAATAGATAAAGTTTTGACAGCATTTTTTCCTCTGTTGTGATAGAGCTCAAAAGAAGCTACTGATCAGTTTTTCATTGTTTTAATGCCACCTGCATGCCCCTAATAAATTCTCATAGGAATTGGTGAAAGTAGAAATAGTTTGTTTTTGAAAAAAATATTATCTACTTATTTGAAAGATGTTCTCATTTAATTGTGAATGATAGAGAATCTGTTGCAGTTTGATAGAAGTGTAACAGTTCAGGTAGATACACACCAACTGTTGTCCACATATTTGTATATCTGACTGGATTCCAAGCTTTTTCTTTGGGCCTAGAGTAGTAAGATCTCTACTAATCTGATTTGATGGAAAGTATTATTCTTGTTTGAGTCTTCTGCTAATAAATTTAAGCTGGTGAAAAGCTAGAAAGAGCTTGTCCTAGCCAGCATACATCAAAATGGGCCCCTTATGACTCTTCAGAAAAGTTCAATTCGAAGTTAATTTTCAGTCAAGGAGTTATATAAATTGTGTTCGTAGGAAACTTACGTTCTAATGTGTGTCTTTGTTTGGGTCTTCATGGAGACAGGATATGGCATTTTTGGATGTTCACACAGTTATATTTTAATTTTTTTTTTTTAATACAAAGTCCTAGGAAAGTGCAGGCAAAGTAACATCAATTAACCACCGAAAAACCATGTACTGTTCAAAGAATCACTGCTGTCAATGGAAGAACTATGCAGCAGCTGCGTCTTCCTCCTTTTAAAGAAGGACAGAGAAGAAGTCTGTCACCTCAAAAAAGATTTAACATACTTTTTCCAATCTGAATTTTCCTCAGGAATTTAATTAAAGACATTTCTGAGCATAATGTTTGTCAGAAGATGCTTCAAACTCCTAAGCTCAGTATTTATAGTTTCCCTGACACAGGAAGAATGGAAATTCTCATAATAGAGCCTTATTCATGTGAGATTTCCATCTGAAATTTTATTTTGTCTTCAGTTTCATGTTGCAGGCAAGTTAACATAATGAGGATAAGGGAGCAGAGCCTTGGAGCACTGCAAAATTCCACATACACTATACTCAAAAACTTATCTGTGGCCTTCAGCATACATTAGAAAGGTGAACTTTATGGTACCTGTGCCTGTAGAGCACAGGTGCCTGTAGAGTCATTCTGGGAATCCAAAAAAATGCCATAATTATACCATGAACTTAATGTGGAGAATACTCTTTTCCCATACCCACCTCACAAGAATTGCTTTGCTTAACAGATTGAAGAAGGCTTAATAAATGGCTGTTTTACCAAGGAATTTATGGAACAGATGCTGAAATATATTTGAATATTTAAAAGGAAATAAAAAGTGCGTAGTGCTTAAAAAAAAAAAGTGCTTAGTGTGTTCAATTCAGTACTGTGTTCATTTAGTACTGTGATTAAAATATAGTACACTGCTATCACTAAATTTGCTGTTTATACGGAAGGTCTTTTCTAACTCTGGTTTCTTATGCATGTTGCATTTTTTAACATGCTGGAAGGATCATTCAGTTCATTCAGGGAGGCACACTGAGTTGAGTTGAAAGATATAATCCCATAAGAATCTGTATACTTTATAGGTGAGATTTCTTTTTTCTGGAGTGTAGTCAGTGAGTGCTTCTGCAGCATCTAAATATCGAGGGCCTGCTCTTATCCTGGATGACTACACTCTGGTTTGTTGATACAAGCACTATTGTGTTACATATCCGAGGTGCTTGATTTCAGCAAACATTAGTGTTCTAATCAGATAGCTGGCTGCATATTTCAGATTCAAGCCCTTCATGTTGTTCAGAGTAGGTACATGGAGAAATTTTGAGCAGTAAATAGAGTGAACATTCTAAATCTACTGCCATCTGTCTATATAGAAGTTTACCAATCAGCACAAATTGCCACTTTTTCTGATTTATCGTAGACTGCCTTGCAGCCACTGAAAGTCTTTTCATATATTCAGAAATTTCCTTCACCGTAAACATTTTTTTTTTCTCACTAAAGAATATATTAATTATTATAAATTGGTATTACTGCTGCATGTTCCTAAATTTGTTGAATCTGCAGGCCACATGTTGAGAGGGTTTGGGAAGATAATCTTTTTTTGTGATTCATGATTTGAGAAAGACATAAAAGGCATGGCAAATGTTCAACATTTATTGAATGAAAATTTACCAAAAGAGATGAAAGTTGATTATTTCTGACCATCTTAACATGATTTTGTCATGAAATCATTGTGAAATATTTGTCTTCATGCCAGCAGTAGATCCTGTTCCTGACAAATATTAAGCACTTTGAAAGATTCTGCATGATAGCATGTCTACTTAAATGTCTCTTAACTCATTTTTTTGTTGATATTTTTTCTATCGCTTATTCATTTTGGATGGATTTGTGAAGATGCATGATATTACCTTGATTTTTGTTTATTGGTCTGTTGACTCAAAGAACGACCCAAAGGCAAAATATGTAGACAAATTTTGAAGCACTGTATTAGGATATAAAAGATGAGGAAAAGAGACTCTTTTCTTGTATATTTTCAGTTTATCACAAGAAGCTTCTAATTCTAAGAAGAGAAAAAAGCCAAAGTGAAAAAGTTTAGAGACTCCAATTCGTGAGTTATTTTGATCAGATATTGAGACAAAGGAAAACATGTCAGATCCAAAGAGAAATTATATATTTGCTCTATACTGCTGGAGCTGAACATATATTTCTTTTGGATGGATACATTTGAAGTGCAAACTACTGAAGAGTTTACAGTATGCTACTTCAAACCATGAGTACCAGCCTGACAGACTGCAGAAATTCTTCCTCTTTCAAGTCTCTTCCTTGCATATTGGTGGTGTTGGTTATTTAAAAATCTGTCTTCCCCATAAAAAGCCCCCAAAGACTATTTAGTCTTTCTTACCTCTGTGGTACAACTGAAACATTTTCTCCTTGTCAAAATGCGAAGAAGAAGCTTTGTAGATCAATTAATTAATTAAAAAAAAAAATCAGGAAAAACAAGCATGAACAAAACAATTACATGGTATATTTTCACACATTTGAAATTTTTTCACCCTTTGAATTAATTTCCCAGCTATTGAAAAATCCAGATAAAACTTGATTTGATTTCCTTGGAGAAAACAAAAAATGATAGCGTGTATTTATTTTTTCTTTCTCTCAAATCAGGTAAGAAAGTAAATGGACAACTCCAGAATATGTACAAATTGGTACCTAGTACCCAGTCACAGGTAAGCAAAAATAGTATTATTTTTTGTATTAGTTTTGTATTTTGCATTGTCAAATTTTTGCTTCTCCGTTAAGTAAAATGAGAAAGAGCTGACAGCCACAAATGTCAACATGAAAAACCTGTTAAGTCTCAAAGTTGGTAACTGTGTGTAGAAATGTTTAGAAGTGTGGACTGATAAAATTAAGAATGTGGACTGATAAGTTAAGAATGGTAGCTGAGTTGCTTAGAGCTACTGATACTGGTTTAACAAAGAGAGAGTTTTTTTAAGTACATAGACTCTTAACATTGAAATTTGCTTTCCCTTTTGCAGCAGACAAGTTTGTTAATCTGTGATATTTGTGCTGATCCAAGAATTTTCTACAGTCAACGTTATACTTGCAAATAATTCATTTTGTGATAAGTTAGTGCTGTTACTTCATAGAGAAATCTTCTGTGTACTGAAAACATTAGTCTACTCTCTGAATTAATTGATCTCTCTTGTATGTGAGGCAAGCATTTACAGAACCAGAGAAAGCTGAAAAGGGCAATTTAGTTTCCTAATCGAGAAGGGTGTGCAGCTCACTAAATCCTTGCAAGTGGGAAGGTAGAATTTTTAACTGTTCCATCAAACCAATATTATTCATCTCCTTAGTTTTTTCTCATCCAGCACTTGCATTAACAGTCATGTCTCTCATTCAAGAGATGTTTTATCTGTCAGTGGTGTGAAGCTGGTTGAATACATATTCAAGAAGGTGCTCATTTCACTATGCTGTTGATTAAATCAACTGTGCTGTTTTTCCCATTGGCCCTGTAAACTTTATTAAAGATGTATGTGAAAGCCTAAGACCAGGTAATACATTCTGGTATCTGGTATGAAAGCTATGTTCCTTTATTCCTGTGTGTCAAGACCCTAAACTTGTTAGGACACAGCTGTGGGAGCAGATATTCTATTTATGAAAGAGAAGTCCTGAGAAAATGAGCTAAAACAGTTTTCCAAATATTTGCACAACTTAAGCATGAAAGCAAAACTGGAGCCAACATCTTGTCTTTTTAGTCAGCTTCACAAAGCTCAGATCAAGACTGGTACGGTTTTATCAAGCTCCACATAAATATCATGAAAACATTCCACACATTATTCCAAAAATTCACTTACCACTCTCACTTAGTGGTACAAAAAACTAAGTCATAAAACTAAGCTGATGGTGTCCAATTCTTGAATTTATGTTATTAGTTCAGTTTCCACAGCATTAGGTGGAGTATTTCTCAGTGACGCAATCATATCATCAGTGCAAAGCCAAAGTAACTGTCATTTAGTCCAAGATTTGTTTACGCCTTGTTTTGCTCCAAAGACACAAATGAATTGTTTGAGTATGGTTCTATTTCTTCTCTTCACTGAGACATTTTAAAAGGCTGTTTATTAAGGCAGCATTTCCAATCCATCTAGTCATCCTCCACTTTCAACATCAGTCAAATTTCAGCTTGTGTTTCTTTTGGCAGGCTCGTCCACAAAGTTTGACTAAGCTCCTGGGGCTGCGTAAGCTACAACCAGAAAGGGAGGGGAAAAAAAGAGACCTTAAGGGGGACAGTCATTGCTTTTTCTCTTCATAAACAATGAGAGGTGGTAGGGTGGAAAGAAAACAGAAGAAATTTCTTTACTTTCTGTCTGATGAGGTTCCTAAAGTTTCATGTCACACTGAAAAATGAACTCCTCCTTGAGTTTTTCAGTCAAAAAGCATAGCTACCATCTTCTATCATTTGAAAATGTGTTTTTCCAAACCTTATCCACTCAACGCCGACTGTGGTGCTTGAAGAGTCTCTTTTAAATATGTTTCAATTGCTTGTAGCTTTTTTGGTTATTGGAGTATAAGAAAAAAAGAATAAGCACCTCTATAAGTCTTGTTGCCATATGCTATTTGACAGAATGTTGAAGAACTGCAATATGTCATAGGCGTGCCATCTGAACTTAAGATGTTTGGTTTATAGCATAGCTTAGAAATCTAATTTTCCTCTGAAATTAATTAGTACCTTATTTATCATCCTTCTTCATTCACTGAGTTGCCACTATGTTAGGAACGAATATTCCTGATACCTAACGGAGTTTATGTTCTCCCGCTGGAAAATACAATTCTGCTATTACTACATGATATCTTGATGTTTCTCTGTCTAGTAAAATTTTCTACTAAAGCAAACCATTTCAGAAACATGTGTATTAGACCCTTTTAGAGTCTAAGAAGATTGACAACAAAGTGTTAGATTTCAACAGCAGCAATTGAAGATTGATGTAGATTAAAGTTTATGTACAGTAACTGCAGAACATGGATTTCATGTCAGTTATTTGTTCTCATCTGAGAGGATAGATTTTGAATTTATCTTAATGCGTGTATAATGTATAGCATTTTAATATCACTGACATTACAATCATTCATTATTATTCAACAGAGAAAGTATGCTTTTGTCAATGAAAGAATCCTATATTGGTAAAAGGACTGGCAATAATTATGATTACCATTTAAACACTGGAGGCGTGCTAGTGTTTGCTAGGAATACAAAAGCTATTTATTTTATTATTAAGGCTCCTGATGAGAAATACAGTAAAATGGACAGCTGCTTCTTATATATGCATTTATTCCCACTTGTGAGTCAGATAAGTTGCAGGGTTACTTCAAAAGTTGATCGTCTGAAACAGTTTTTCACTAGGAGGCAAATAAGAAAGGTAAGCCTTATTAATGTGTATTAAAGGAAAAATACTGAGTGACAAGAAAAAAAGATGATTTCATATTCTTTGTTAAGGACAATGACTGAAAATGACAATATCTGACTATGTTCATACCAATGCAAACTTGTTTTTAGGTAGCAGAAGGTACTGGCTTTCATAGAATAAGCAGCCACTGTCCATTTTCCTGAGAAAAAGACTTTATTTCTTAAGATCTGACTTCTTCCAGGTTCCTAAGCTTTTAATTTGTATTGAAAGCTTCTCAACCTGTGCTTTATAATGATTTAAATGTTTAGAAGACAGCAAAAATATATATTGTTAAGTAAATAAATCTGTCATCAAATGCTAAATTCTCATGCAAGCGTTCTCACGTGAAGTAGACCTAAACAAACTTTAACTGATGCTGACTTTAAGTGGTGTACGTTTAACACAGACAGGTATTTTGTTTCCGATTTTTTTTTTTATTATTTGTTAACCAGGTATAGCTGAAAAAGGTCCACTTCTAATGTACTTAGCATTTTCATATTGCTTGCTTTACAATATCCCTTTTCCCCTTTCTTCATTATAGTAGCAGGCTCTCAAAAGTTGATCCTATGACACTTGGTAGAGCATACTTATTTATAATCTTGCAGATCAGTTTTTTAATTTGTTTTTAAAATGCAAGGTTCATTCATGTGCTTCTTCATAGTTATCAATGTTGAAAAAGATTCGCATTTAAGCAAAAATATCTGAGTACAAGACAAATTAGGAGAAAAGTGCAACTATTTAGTGTAAAAACTCTGAGAACACAAATGGCTTGCCAATTTGTCTTTGTAAACATTTTCACCAAATAAAACAGCTCTTGACTTAATCTTATTTTAAGCGGAATACACACACAAGTGCTGAGTACAACTGGTTCTAGAATAGTTTGTGCTGAAAAATACTATTCCTGAGAGTATAAAATTATCCTGAGACCAAATTTGTAATTGCACGTATTTCTGATGTTTTATTGCAACTAAATGTCAGTTTTTCTTAGCTTTCTGGTCTACTCCCTAGTGAGTGCTCAAGAGATTTTTAAAAGAAAAAAAGATTGGGATTTCCTAAGCTGTCAAATACTGTGTTTTTTATGAAGCAAAACATCTTAAGCTGGAAAAAGGAGATGAAAATGTTATATTCCATGGTAGCCCTTGGGAACTGAAGCAATAGCGTAACCTTCAGTAAGAGCAGCCGGAGCCATTTCCAGTGTCAGTGTGGGGCAGGCGTGGTTTTGGATCAGAGCCCTCTATTTTGGTTAGCAAGAAAGTTCAATTACTATTATGGCAGTTATCCCAAGGATTTTTTTCCCTTTCTTCCAGCTTACGCTAAGAGATAATAAGAAGTTGGTCCCTGTTACCATAATCAAACAAGGTAATTTTGTATATTGTTTAGAATTCTTTTAAAATATTCTACAAGTGTCCTTTAAAATTAATAGCGGTGGAAAACTTGTTATTATGTTGTAAATGTGATGAATATTTCCTTTTAGAAGGGATAGAACTTTAGAAACAACGATATCCTCAAATTACAAATACTATCAACTCATGCCTGTTTGTTAATAACACGAGTTACTTATTTTCATTGTGAACAATGCCTTACTTGAGTCAATGAATAGCTGTCAGTATTTTTTTTTCTTCTACTACTACCCATTCTTTTCTGTCTCAATTGAATTGTCCAGTTATTTTGGTCTCTCAGCTCAATGTTTGAGCTTGAAATGCAACAGTATAGATAAGATTGCTGTTACAAAATTTTTTTATGCCTGCATTTCAGATATTTTAAAGCAGATATATCACTGCTTTAACCTCCTTTCTCCTCCCTTGCCCAGTCACTGGGGTGAGACATCTACAGTCGGCATACATGTATCTCCCTTTAGAAACTCCTGTTTCTTAGTAACAACTATAGCAGTGAGAGTTATCATGATATTGGAATTTTTGAAAATTAACTACTTGAAGTAACAACAAAAAAAAGTCTTCTAAAGCAGTTCACAGTTCAAGAACAGGAGGAAAATGGGAGCTGATATGAGGACAAATTACAGCAATTACCTATAAAATAAGACTGTACTGATGCTTACTTCATATCTGCTTTTTCCATCATATATCTTTTCTGAAGACATGCGAATGGTAGCATAATGAGATAGGCTGGAGGTGGATGTATATTAAAATAAGCATATAATGTGTTTATATCAAAGATATCAAACTAAGGTGCTAGGGAAAAGAAGAGATGCACCTTTAAGGGACTTTTAAACTGAATGCAAATACAGAAAGGACGAAGATGATGTCCTCATCTCTTAGCATTAAACTGAGAGAAGGTTTTCAGAATGCTGAGATTTGTCACAGGCATGTCTTTGTTTCCTGTTTCAGTTATGATCTTCTAGCATGTTTGTTTTGTCTCCACAGTTATTCAGAATCGGACGCAGTCAAAAACTTCGGATAGTTCTTCTCTGCCAGGAGCAATTCTAGGTGACAAGAAGATTTTTAATTTTCCCTCCTCTGTGACTGACAATTAGATCTGTGTAAATTTATTGATTCTGAGAGTTCTTTCCTTATATTTATATATAATGTAAAAGTAGAACTGCCTGTAATAGACGAGAAAGGTTCACTGCACCTCATGACTAGTTTATTCCTGACTTTGGGAAGGTGTTTAATTTCTTAACTATGGAACCACTTTAAAACTATGTAACTTTAGCTTAAGTTTGTTTTGTATGAGTTTCAGTGGACAAATGTGAGTCAAACAGGTAGTCATTAACCACACGTTTGTTGTTGAGTCTTCTTTGGCCCACCAGATAGTATGTTCATATATCAATGGTACTACAGTACTCAAGGGTTGTATGCTTTAGAATTTGTTTGCCATTTGAATTAGTAGTAAAATTGTGCTAGTATATTGAGTACTAAAATAGGGAAATTGCACTCATTGCTCCAGTGGGGAGTAACAGTTACAGAACAGAACTAACCCATTTTTCAGATACTCAGGCTACACACCCACTGGTTCTGTAGGGCAGCTTGTATATTGTTCTTTTTTTCTTGAACTAATGGCTCTTTCATCTTTCTTTGTAGTGCATCTTATTGTTCCAGGTCTCAATGAAACTCAGCAAAAACTTCTTCCTCCCCTGTCAATAGATGACATAAGTCAAGTATCCAGAAAAAAACTGGGTAAGCAGTAATGAACAAAGCTTTTATTGTTCGTGAGCAGTATCAGTAGTTTAGCTGGTATGAGATTGTGTATACAAGAGAAAAGCTTTTTTTCACTATTTAACCATTCTTTTTTTAATTTATTTATATAATATTTTAGTTGGAATTGTTAGAGTTCATTGGAATCACCTATTTTAAAACATCTGGTCAGGTTTTTAAGATATTTCAAAGCCATTCAAAGGAATGAAGAAATGATCCAAAGAAAAGAAAAGATGGGAATCCAAAGCCATGTTTATAATCCTTAGAATTTTTTTGTTGTTTTACTTTTCAACTTTTTTTTTCCATAGATACTTTCTTTTACTGTTTATCTTGAAAAATGGTAGGTTTATGTCCTTTTATAATAATAAGTTTTCAATGAATTTTTGTTGTATGAATTCTGATATGAGTAAATGTGAGCGACTGTTTCATGGAGAGATTCTTGCAATAAAATCCATGGGAAAAAAAAAATTGTCACAAAGCAGAACATTTCAGTACAAGTTTCATGTATGTTTGATTAATATGACTGGAACCTGCAGGTTCCAACTCACTCTGAACGAGACTTCATGAAGTTTTTGTTTAAGATTCATAAATTAGTGTATTACCTGTGAATGGTGCACTCATGGGAAATTCAGCTATTTTTTTAAATGTTAACAACACCCCTCGTCCATTTTACAGACATCTCCTGAGAAAAACTCTGGAGCTCATACTTTTTGGCTTTTCTAGTCTTAGTACTTAGTTTTAATTCTTAACAACTAGATTAGATTTTCTTCCTTTCATATTTCTAATTTGTTTATTTTATTCTCTTGCTTCATTACTGACCATGATACATTCTCAGACTGGCTTGCTTTGCAGTAAGAAAAGAACACTGCTTGTTTTTGTTCAGATGTTGGGTGCATGTAAGGGTAAAGAGACACAGCACAGTAAAATTTGAATGTGTTTGAGTAAGAATGTGTTTGAACTGAAGCTGAATTACTTGGATTTCAACAAAGCTTTCAGTACTGTTCTCACAGTATACTTCTATACAAAATGATCAGCATAGCCAGACAAAAACATAATGTGATGTGTGAAGAACTGGCTGATGGGTCAGGCTCAAATGATCAAAGTAAATGGGATTGCAGTAGGCTGGCAGCCACTAGTAAGTTTCCCCAATCTTGGGGCCAGTTCATCAATGGCCTGGATGCAGGACTTCAAGGTTCACTAAGTAGGGGTTCAGTAGGTGTGCAATAAAAGTAGCAGTATGTGACTGTGGAAAAGAGAAGAGAAGGGAGGAGAAGGGAGGAGAAAGGGAGAAAGAAAAATATAAAGGTAGTTTCAGTTATCCTGAAAGTTTCTAACCTCCTCTGTTGGGAAAGCGTAGAACTTCTAAATTTAGATGCTCTAGTCTGTTTAAAACAGCTGGTGTGATGTCAGTTTGGAGCCACTCTTCATGGTAGATTGCACACCTTTGTGAAAATAACTAGGGTAAGCAAGTGATGTTTTATTTTCCATTTACCGTGTGTTCCTTACCAGAGAACATCAAGTACATGGGTGTACTTACACACCGGGGAATACTGGATTTCAAAGTGTAAAAGAGAAAAGTCATTGCTATCATTTGTTTAATATAATTTAAATTTATAAAGTAATTGAGAAAAAAGCATACTGACCAAGTACGGATATCCTTCACTCGTGCCTGTAAACAATGTAAGTCTATAGTAAAATGCATTAAAGCTTTTGCTGTGGGTGAAGTTTTGACTAAGTGATTTTCTGACATATTGCCACTACTACAATTCTGTATTATTTAGAAAAGTCAAAACAATGCATTCCGGGATACCATGTTTATTCAATTCCCAGTTTTTTCTATTTACTTTTTCAAAAATCTACCAGTTTTTTTGAAGAATAGTAGCCCAGAAAAAAACAGAAAAGATCTCACCCACAAAATGAATTTCCTTCTTCACAGTGAAAATAGAAAAACACAGATATTACTGTTTTCAAAATGAACGTCCCCAAGATCCGCTATTTTTATGTATGTATATCTGTTGAAATTAAAGGATTTTGTCCAACCACTATACTTGACAGAAATAAGGTAAAGGAACACATGCACACTCTGTCACTGTAATATCTGAAAATTTATTTGACTGTTCTTATAAAATCCTTACATCTATATTACATCTTCGAATTCTGAAAAGTATTTAACTATTTTACTGTTGAAATGTTAGGCAAAACTATTTTGCACTGTGAATGTAACGACTCGGAAAGCATAAATTTATGCTGTGAATCCTATTTTCAAAGTATCTTTTAGGAATAAACCAATATTACAAATGCACGTGTGTTTAACGTTTTTAGGCAAATGCTTGTATTCATTGTAGTGGAATTTATTGATTCCTAAAGGTATTCAGCTTTCCACATTTATCCATGTTGATTTACTTTGGCAAACTGAAGTGAGACAGAAATAAATCTCTAGTGGAAAAGAGCAGATGCAGCTTTCCTGTAACTCTCTAATGTCTTTGTCCCTTTAGGTAAGAATGAAACTCAAGTATGGCCTGCTGAATCCAAAACACCAGAAGTTCAAGAAATCTCGCCTCAGTCTCTCCCAGGTAATAAGTGTTCTATTTTCAGAAACTCTAGTGAATATATTTGCCAAAGATATAAACTGAAATTAAACTCATTTTTACATTGCTTACTCTGCAGTTAAATGCAGTAGTTGGAGGACAAAAGCATAATAAAGCTGAGTTAGTAGCTGTGAGTGATACATAGAATAAAATGTAGATAAAATTCTGATTAATTTTGGAGCAAAGGTTCCAATACTCCAAATGTTAGGTTAGTAGATATTTATATATTAGAATTGTATCTTTGTGGACTGTTGAATATCTTGAAATTGTGAAAAAATGGCAAAACAAACAACTACACATGTTATTATTGCTATGATACTGTTAGTTCTGTTCTGAAACAGAACCTTTTTAATCTACTACTTGCTTTTTCTGTGGTTTTGCTTCCATATCTCCTTTCCTTTGGTGACTATTCATTTTGTTTATGCTTTGTTGATCATAGCACCAAGTTCTAATATTAAAGTAGATATTTCAGGAGTTTCACGCTTATTTACATCAAAGAATGCATTCATTTTGATTATGGTATTTCAGTTTAAAAATGACAGTAGGAAACAGCAAAGTGAGAGCAAATCCTTTGAAAGAAAACAGAAGTTCTCTGAGTAGGATCTATGTTTGCATGTTGTCCATGCAAAAATAACTTTTGTAGTTACACATTTAAGCAAGACTTGCGCAAGCAACTGAAGTGAGAGCTCTGAGCACCAGCCTTTTGCAAGGGCTGCATTTGACAGACAGGATAACATGTAGACACATTTTGATTTAGGATTAGGATCTATTTGATTATATTTTGTTTGGATTCACCAATTTGAAAATCACACTGGATTTTTTTTTTTTTTAAGTAAGACATAGTAATTATTTGCTGTGAAACATTTAAAGAGGGGTGCCAGAAGAGGCATCAGAATGTTTATTTAAGAGGAACTGTGTGATCTCTGTCATTCAAGAAGGGAATAAAGGCGCTTAGAGTGTTTCAGCAAGCAGAACTACCTGAAAGGCTCCATGAGCTGGGCCACTCTTACATTACTGTAAGCCTTTGCCAAAGGGTGTGTTCTGTTCTGTGTGGGTCAGTAACTATTTTGTGTTTGTCAGACAAAAATCCCACCGTTTTCTCAATTTCAGGCCTCCCCTCCCTTGGCATGCACTTTTACAGAAAGACTAACTAGTAAGCTCTTTGTTGCTTCATGTTTTCCACTTAGGAATATTATATTCTAGAAAGAATACTACTTTGTAATGGTTTTTAATTTTTTTCACAGACTTTTAAATTCTCTGAATTGAATCAAGTGTGAACATTTTCTTCACTTGGCAAGGAAATTATAGCTGACCAATGGTTAGAAATATCAGTGCATTTGCCTAGGACATGGAAGAACTAATTCAGAAAACAGACAAACAAAAAAACAGCAGGTTATTTCTTTTAGTAGGGGGTTGTACCAGAAATACATCAGAGTAGATTTGTGAAATAGAGAACAGACTTGAATTGAAATGGACCATCTGTGAATCCAAGCTAGGGCTAGTTTTAGTAGGAGCAATTTCTGTGTTGCTGTCCTTTTCAAGTTCTTCCTCCTTCTGGCCTCTGAAGACTTCCCCATGTGCTCACATGATATATCAAAGTGAGGACTGTGCTTCCATCATATCTTCAGACTGGGGAGGAAAAGAAGATCAGGAATGAAAGAGTCAAGGGAAATGCGACCTAAATGGATTCTAGCTCTGTTCCATGCTGTGATAGCAAACTAACTATATTTGCTTGGTTTTGTTAACGATTTACTTTGCAGCCACCACTGAACCATCCCAGGAAATTATTAAACCTGCTTCACCTAATTACTGGGAAAAGTCGGAAGTATTTTTAACTTCGAGGCCTAAAGTTTCTATGTCCTTTATCTCTTTTTACAAAATTGCTTCACTTCATTTCTACAAAAATCTGTGTGAAACAGAGGAGAGCCTCATTTCCTTTATCCCAGTTTTAGACATGCTCAGCTAACTTGGTTGTCAAGGGTCATGCTTCATGTGAGTGAAAACCAAAAGACTTCTTAAAAAAGAAATCATAATGATGTCTAAATATCTGCATTTGCTTTTTTCTCATGGTTACATTTAAGCAGAAAGAAATGTTTGCTTTTGAAGCACTTCTGAGGAATTTGTCTGGGTTTGTTTGTTGCTGCTATTATCTTTCAAGGTCTCTCACGGGTGAATTTTCTCCCACAGAGTTCATAGAGATAAATTGCTTTAACTTCTCTGTAGAAATAAATCTCTTTCCACTGATGACAGTAAGAACACTATAGTTGATATAGTAGAAACTGAATTGGGTCTTAATAAAGCAGCATGTATGGAGATTATAGCTTTCAAAGCACTGAAACACACTGTCCTCCAAAACAGAAAATAGTAAAAAGTTTCTAACTGTAGTGGCAGCTATCCAGCTATTTTCAAGCTGGGAAACAGCATGTTTTCTTCAGGAAATGAAATAATAAGCTTATACATTTACCCTTTCTGTTATTGCCTGAAGCATGCTTAACATGCTGAATGGGTTGTGAAAGAAGCGTGGAGAATAAGGCAAACAAGCAAAAATAACTTCTCTTTTACTCCATTTCAAAATGAAAGTGATCTTAAACTAAGTAAAGACTGAAATGTAATCCGATATTGAAGCTAATCACCACTATCCCCTGTATATACCAATATGTGCTAAATACTGTGTAATTTGCTTTCTGGAAGGAACTAATGTTCTCACCATATTTAAGGCTGAGAACTTAACATCCCATGTTCCATATTGCTCTTGTTTCATAACCTCAGACTTTTGCTCATATGTCCTTTATGATTGATTAAACACTAAAAGACCTCTGACAAGATGCAAGAAAGAAGTGATATTGGCTTACATACCTTAAGAATTAAATGTTATGCAAAATAAGGAGTATAATTATGCACTAGTATATTAAAATATAGTTAGCAATTCAGTATAGCTGCAATGAATGGCTGTTTGATTAGCTACCCATACTTTATTGTGAAGGTGTAGAAGAAAGAGTAAAAGTCAAAAGACTGTTATATTGCTATCACTGGATAAAATGAACTAAGGTGTTATTACAGGGGAATCTTTATTCTTTTTTTTTTTTTTTTTTTTTCTGATGATTTTTCAATTAGAATAATTAAAAAATCCAGAATGGTAGAGAAAATATTTGTAAATACATTGTGTGATGTAACAATTCTGTTATTCTGTGTTCTATGAATGAAACTTGAGAGTCTGCAGCAGAAGTACTGTTTGAGTTTCTAAGTCTTTTTGACTAACATGTTTGGGTTTTTTTGTTTGTTTGTTTGTTTTTTCTTATGTAAAACTGCTACAAAATTAACCCAATCTCATGGAATTCATAAGTGAAGATAAAAATGAATTATACTGAAATTATCCGCTGCTGCTGCAAAAAAATACTAATCAGCTGACATAGAATAGTGGTTGAAAAAGCAGTGGGCTTTGGGCAGTAGATGAACAGAAATGCACAGAGAGATTCAAAATTAAATAAAGCTTCTTTTTTTCTAGCTCAGGCTGAGAAAAAACACGGACCTAAGGAATTTAAATCAACGCCTAAGCCCGAATTGCAAACTCAAAACATATTGGGTAACTAATTTTGCTGCTTCTTACCTTCTATATACAGTAAATGTATTTTTTCCATTTTCAGATGACTTTTCTACTACATTCCTTCTACTGAGCAGCATCAAAGAAAGTCCTAATTAAAATTTTTTGTTCCCTTTGTGCTTCCAGCATCTCACAGATGAAATGTAAAGCAGAATGGATCCAGCACTGACTGAGCTGTGTCTGTTATGCATGATTATTGCTAGCAGTTTTGACTGGGTGATTCAATCTTGTTTTTCAAAGTATTGCTTTCTCTGTATGTCATCTGAATAACTCACATCAGATAAAAATTCCATCAGTAAAGTGGTTTTAGTGATAGAATGAAACTTGCAAACTCGATAATTTTCCTTTGACAACAGATTCATTTGGATAACATCAACAGTGGTGTAAAAGGAATATTTTTTTATTGTATATGACATGTATTTGTGTTTGACTTAGAGAAAAAAAAAAAAAGAGCTGTAATGTTTGGGTTTTTTGTTTTTTGTTTTTTGAGATCTCCCATTACTTGAAAGATTTCTTATGTTTCTTCTGGCATTTAGAATTCTAAGTTCTCCAATGTTGGTTTTGCCTTTATTTTAATCCTAAAACTGTGCAAAATCATGAACATGAACTTCTGGCTATATATGTATACACATATTTAATTTGGATTAGATTTTCTAAATCAAAAATGGCATAAATACAGGATGATGAGTGTTAAAGGAGAAGAGTGAGCTTTTTCCAGCACAGAAATACAGATGTTCCACATGAAGAGGACTGCTAGTTCTTCTCAATTGTTTTTACGTATTCCTATTGATTCATGATAATATCATCCTCTCTTTTGTCTGTTACAGTTGCAAGCAGGTTTCCAGAACATACTGAAGTTAAAACATTGTCTCATTTTCAAAGTTACATTTAATCACCTTTTAACCATAATTAACTTTGCCTGTTTTCTAACATGCCTTTTAAGATGGAGATATGAAAGTGAATCAAGGTGCGTCACTGCTTAATTTCAAACTAGGTGATCATGGTTACAGGTGGATTTTTATTACTGGCTTCCTCTAATTGGTGGTTCTTAATATTATGATTATGGGAAATGATGATTTTATTCAGATTCCACACATCTTTTTAAGTGGCAAAACTGCATATGTTTTGTTTTTTCCCCAGGGTGGAACTCGTTGTTATTGGTAAACACCATTGGTTTCCAGAATGCTTTAGAAGTCAAAATACAGTCCCATACTTTGTCTTGCAATACTCTGTATTAAATAAAGCCTTGATTATTTCTTTTATCATAGTTTCTAATGAAATACATCCACTTCCTCCTGGAACCAGAATCTTTGATGATCCAAAAAGTCCATTGACAGAACTTGGTAATTATTTTGTTTGTAAATTTGAGCAAACTTCTGTGTAAAATTATCTGAATTACCTCTTTTTTTTTGTTTGTTTTTAACACTTCAACTGCAATAATATTTTGTATGTAAATTATTGCAGCAATTAGTTTTTTCCCAAAATTTGCAGGTCACATCTTTCATTCTCAGTCTTTCTTTTTTGTTTTATTATAGTGACAGGTTGCTCTGAATTCATGCGTCTTAAAGAATAAAAGGGTATATGAGCTACCTTTTATAACTTTTATTTATGGTATGATGATGGCAACTTATGCCTCGTTGAAATATAAATCAACAACTGAACAAATACTTACATTGTAGTACCCCCTAAGATAACCAAAAGAAAAAAAATTAGATATGGTCACCTAATCAATTGGTGAAGTTGTCACAGCTTAACCAAATTAAAACAAAACTGTAAGCAGGTCAGGGAGAGTTTGGGTAGAGCAAACCTGACTAGTCTTAGTCCTGAACTCAGTATAAAGCTTATAGCCTATTAGTAACAGTGGCAGTACCATATTGCAGGGCTGCACAATTACACCCATGCCATTACAGATTGTGACCTTTTCATTAGTTAACAGAAGTGACCTAGAGTCGGTATAGATTTGTATTTCACTAAGCTTTGAATGAGAATTTATCATGTAATGGTGCTGATTTAATTAGACAATGTACTTAATGCACTGCCAATTTTAAAATCATTTCCTGGAAGAGCTCATGATTTCTTGAAGTGCTTATTTGAACCAAGCAGTACAATTTGAATGATCTTGAGAATTCGCTGTTGATTTGTTGCAATATTTGACAACTCTGCTTAAGGGGATAGAGATTCATATTTATTTTCACTGTAAGTTTGGTTAAATGTAATTAGAGGTAGCATTAAAAATAAAAAGTCCATTTAACATTTTACAAACAAGTTTGACTGAATTGTAGTTGTTTAAAGCCTGAAAAATTATTATGGATAGGAAATATTTTTGCTTACTAGAGAATAATCTGCTCCTATGTTTCTGTCAGTAGTAGAGGTAAAATGGTAACAGTTGAGCAAAAATACACGTTAAATTCAAGTTCTGATGTCTTCCATTTCTGCCACGTAGCAAAACCTGAGATTTAATTATGTGAGGTTGGACTCTGACATTGGATCAGGTGGAGCATCTGTGCTCCCAGTGAAGTCAGTGCTGAACTCAGTGGTACTCTGTGAGAGTGACTGCAGGAGTCATTTGCGGGAAATTTTGCTGCGCTGTGCCTCAGCATGTTGTGATCACCTCAGGTCATGAAATCAGTGGGAAAAAAAGAGAGAATTTAGTTATTGAAGCTAAAGTGCATGACCTGTATTCTGTCCTAGTTTCTCAGAAGACGTTTTCCTTTATTTTTCTATCAAGATTGTACCAGAGGGAGACATCTCCCACTATTTTATAAAATTTCTGTGTGGTCAGTGTATTTTGAATTCAAACATTTCTGAAAAGATAGCTTTGTTAACATAGCTTTACTCTTCTGATGCCTTTGGGAAATCTCTCATAGCTCTTACTATATGTAAAAATATCAAAGGAAGCTTTTGTTGGCCAAAGTTGTGAATCATAATGCTTGTTTGTATTCTTTTCTGTATTGAAATCAGGACATAGTAACCAGGAATAATATTTATTAATGTGATCTGTTGGTTAAAGGCAAATGAGGAAGCAGATTCAATATATGACCAAAAAAGGACAGACTTCTGTTTCATAAATTCATATTGTCTGCATTCAAACTGAGCCCTACACCTTTTTATTTGAATATTTTTGTCAATCTCAGAGAAGGTTAGCTTTAAAATCCTGGTGTAGCTACTTAAAAAAAAAATCATACTGTTAAGGAGCAATTAAAAATGTAGATGAAATTTTGTCTTTCATATACATTATAACCTAGGTAAGCATAAGTGACAATTGCAGCTTTTTTTTTTTTTTTTTTTTTTTTTTTTTTTTTTAAATTGGAAAGAAGTGTTATCAGGGGCTTGTACACATGATTTAATAGGATCTGTTTCTTATTTCTTACCGTAAAACCCACACATGATGGAAGTTCACTCATGTTACCCTTTAGGTAAGAATACCCAATTCCAACTTGATTCCTTGTTTCCATTAAAGCACAATAGCTCTCTTGAAATCACCTATACTTCTAAGTGAAATAACATTAAGGTCTTGTAGTACTATTCATTACAACACAGCAATTTAAAGATCCTGTTTTCTCCTTTTCACAGTTATTTCACTGACTTCGTCTTTCTTACTTCTTTCATCATTTCCAATTACACCTTTCTTTAAAATAGTTCTGTGTAATATAATAGGAACCAGTTGATACACACTTGCAAATGCTACTTCAAGTGTGTTTGTTTGGCTTATAGCTTTTTGGTTGTGTATGAAAACCTGATTGGATTTATGCTAAAGGTTGCATACAGTAAAAAACACCCGTGAGAACAAAAATTTAATCTAAATAAGAACTTAATAGTTACAGCTAAAATTAAATTTCATGCCATTTACAATGAGACTATTTGCCTGGATATCTTATTTTTTTTTCATGTTTACTCTTAGCTACTCAGAGTCCAACCTTGAAATCTGTATCTCTACCTTCAGCAGATACCAGAGAGATGGAGATAGGTAATCCGTGGATTATTTCCATATTTTTCCATTATATTTATATCAATTAGATCTGCAAACGGTAATTTTAAGATCTGCGTTAGAATCTTGGCTACCAACACTCACATCAAGCTGCTTTTGTCTGTGTAATCATCTGAAAAAGACATTTGTTACTGGCTTAAAAACTGACCACATAAAGACAACGTTGTCAAATCTTATTCTTTCTTATTTCTTTCACTTCTTATTGTGAAGCTGCATCTCATATCTTCCAAAATTTAATAAGGTAAAATTTCATTCTTTTGGGCATGTGGAACTCTAATTGCAAGTCTGAAGACTGGATTGTAAGCCATCATCTCCTGTTGTCATTGCACAGTTGTCTTGCGCCTCACTTTTCGTCTATAATGCTTTGCATTGGCATCATCTGGAATTTCACAGCCTTCACAAAGCTTCTTATGCTAACTCATTAAGTCACAGGTCTCAGCAGTTTAAGCTCAGATTCTTTTTTCAGCTTTTGATGAAACGCAGCCTGTTTCGTCAAGATCCAAAACATCTGGTACCACAGAAGTGCAGCCCACAAAATCTGGTAATGATTTCTCATCAGATTAATTCTCTTGACAGTTAGGAATTTTCTGAAAAGGCATACTGACTCTCATTGAACAGTTTGTTGAGTTTGACATAATGAAGAATAACTACAGATATGGAAGTGTTATATTGATTTACAGGTTTCTTTATGAACTTTTATACGAAATTATAATTGAACTACTGTTTTGTGGATGAGTTTTGTTGTTTCTTTGATTGGTTGTTTTGAAAGCATAGGCCTTCCTTTAGCCTTCATAGATGAATATAGACATGCCAATTCCGAATCACCCAGATCTCAAAACTGGAACTATAAAAACATGTTACTGAAAACGTAGACGTTCATTGAATTATAGAATGCCTTGGGTTGGAAAGGACTGTAAAGATCATCTAGCTCCAAGCCCCTGCCCTGGGCAGGGCTGCCACCTACCAGCTCAGGCTGCCCAGGGCCCCATCCAGCCTGGCTTTGAATGATTCCAGGGATGGGACATCCTCAGCTTCTCTGGGCAGCTTGTGTCAGGATCCCACTACACTCTGAGTAAATTGGCTACTTAATGTATTGAAAATACCTCCAAATATACTACTCCTATTTTTAAGATGAGGCAATTTGGGTGTTTGAGTAGGGCTTTTTTTTATGTGGGGCCACTGCCAGTATCCAAAAGAAACAAATGTATAAGGAGCCAGCTGGAAAGATTTCACTTCCCTAACATGCCAACAGTGTATTGCCAGATGCATATGTTTTTGGACGAAATCCATTACTAAAGGGAAGATCACCTGGAAATGTCAGCCATTCACATGCCTGACAAAAGATAGCTCCTATGTTTCATTCTTGCTTTGTTATCTTTTCTTTCTCCTTCTCCAGTTTCAGCACCAGGACATCCTCCTGCTTGATCCTTGAAATTCTAAACAAAGATTCCATACCGTACCAATCTTCTCATTTTTATTCATAATTTGTTCTCTTTCTTCTTCTTCATATAAGCTTCTTCATATAAGCTCAGAACTTCTTGCGTGATTTTGATGACAGTTTGGTCATCAGTACATTATACATCTGTGCATTAATATTAATAATTTTGGAAATAAATACAATTGTTTTTAAGTCACAATTGATTATAGTATATTTGAGTCTACCTTTTTGGAGGACTTAATGTGTTAAATATTAGCTAAACTTTTCTTCAGCTCATAAAAGACAGTGCTGCTGCAGATGGTTCTTGTCATTTTAAAATAATACGACACGATTTGTGTTTTTATTTTCCAGCTTCCCATGGCTTTCTTCATATTACTTCTACTCCTCAAACTTTTACAGCTTCAGAAATGACAGATGCTGGTAAATTACACTAATATTATTTTAGAAGCATAATCTTTTAAATGTATGCTGAAAGTTTACTACTATTAGTGGTTTGAGTCACTTATTCTATATTGCCTGCATTGGATGTTGCAGTATGTGTTAGTTCTTCCAATCCTATAGCAGTGTCATAATTCCTGGGACCAAGCACAACCCAGATGAAAAGCAAGACTGCAACAAGCACACAGCTGAATAGGGCAGTATTGATCTAACAAATTCATCAAGAGAAGATGTAAATTTTGCAAGGTAGAAGATTGTTACTGTCAACTAAGCTATACTTTCTGATGATAAATCAGTTTTCTTTCTCACTTTCTTTCTGTCAGTGTACATGTTCCAGTACAAATTTTGCTGTGATTTTTCCTGTACATTGACTTAAAAGCAGCAAGTACACATTTCAGTCCAGACCATTCTAATTTAGCTATACTGTGGACTAGAGCTGTAGGGATGGGTTGTTTTACTTTCCTGAAGCTTTTGGTATG